TCTCATTTTTACTAATTTTTCTAATGAATTGGTTTCAATTCAATCATTTGATCGTGTAATTACAGACGAATACAGAGATAATTGTGAGAGAAGGAGATGAAGATGGAAGAACAATAGCTGAAGTTGTGAAAGAGATTGGTGCTTCTACACTTCTTGTTGGTCTCCATCAAAACAGCTTTCTTTACAGGTACTATTGTGATCGATTCGAAAGTTACGGATCATAAATTTAAAGGTTCTGAATTTTTAAGTATTTTTGTTTTTTGTTTTTTAGATGGGAAATGAGAAATTTTGATTGTAAAGTTATGGCTATAAAGCAGCCGTCACCGGAACAATCATCGCCGGTAAAAGCTAAGGGACGCAGCAAGACTTCATCGGCGACGGCGACATCAAGTGATAGTTTAACTAATTTTGACTTTTCTCAAATCGAAATTTCTGGATTACAGTAAGATTTTCTTTCTTCTACTAACTAACCTCTTTTGTTTTTTCAATTCAATTTCTTTTGATTTGGTGAAAGAATTTCAAGAATCTAATAATTGTGGTTTTGAATAAATTGGAACAGGGTTCCTGAGATTCCGACACCTAAAGTGCCGTACAGGTTATGTCCGAGTCCACATGCGATACTCTGGAGAACAAGACCTCGACGATCCAAAACTCAATACGGTGTCGTTTCATAGTCTATTGATTTTCTCTTATTTGAGTTGCAAAAAGCAAAACTTTATATACTCAATTATTTTGTGTGAAAGAAACAATTTTTACTCAATACCCAAAAAAAAAAAAAAATCATTGGAATCACACATTCGTACAAAGAAATGAACAATTCCCAAACAATTGAACAGTACTCATAATAATTAGAGGTATAAAGAATGTTTCTCTCCTTAGTAAAACTGTATTTTTGTATGCTAATTTCTAACAACATTACCTTTTTATAGCAACAAGTTTTCTCTCCTGTATTCACGTACGATCACTGGTATGCTCGTTGGAGGAATCTATATATTGTATTACCAACACACAAATGTATCAGAACCTGAATCTAACAATCAACTTTAGAATACAGCAATGTGTGTTAGATACGTACCATTCCGTAATCCGTTACGATCATCGATATGTATTCCGGAGGAGTTGAATCGTACCTGAAAACAAAACGAGTAAGAGAAATTAACATAAAAGCTTTTGTGATGAATTTGCAAAATCACATGAAAAGGTTTTACATTAGATTTAGAAACTGAAGGTTTTTGTTGTTGTTATCTATCGTCTTCGATTGCTTTGCATTGGCTCTTAATGGTATGTTGGATATGGCGTCAGGATCGCCTGCAAAATTTCAGCACAGGTAAAAAATCTGATTCGAGTAAAAGAAGAACAATCGATAAGAAGGAGGAGTTCGAACATTACCAAGTTCGTTGGAGCAGATTGAATCAAGTAGGACTCTTTCATGGAACTTGTAAGCTTCACAACAGACAATGACAGGAACACCAAATGCGTTTGCAACCATTGCGATGCAGGCTGTGCCAACTCTCGAGTAGAGAGTTCCATTAGAGAACATCGATGAAGCTCCAAGGAAAATACGTGTAGCGTCACACATAATGTAGGAAATAGCGTTTATATGAGTGTAGGTACAGTCAAGACCATGTGACACAAGTCTACGGAGTAGCTTTTGCCCTTCGAGATTAGGGCGGGAGTCTACAATCACTACACGGAATTTTTTCCCAATCTCATGAGCATATAAGAGAATCATCTCGACCACACAAGAGAATCCATATGTGAGAATAACCTCTCCGTCTCTGATTTTTGTTACGGCGTGTTGTACGATTACCTTGTCTGCAAGAATGATCTTCTCGTCTATGAACCGACCAATTTCAGAACAGAGTAAATCTTTTGCCTCTGACTCTGACAGGTTTACAGGTAGGTTTCTGATTTGGTTCTTCAGGAACCTGATTGCGTTTCCCATGCTCATGGAGAGGGGGCGACACTCTATCAAGAATGATACATAACCGTTTATTTTCGCGGTCAAATCCATGGTCAGGTCTTTCAGAGGAGGTGTAGAGTAATCATTTATAGCTTCTTGAAATGCTTGGAGCATGGCGATACATCGTGCATTGTCCCCAGATATAGCTCCAGCCAAATGTTGCAAACCCACCTAAGATTAAGAAAATACACATATAGATGTCATTTGAGGATATTATAATCTCCTACCAGACTTCAAATCCTTGTAAACAGTTAAAAAGCTTATTATTTGAACATTTAACGACCGCACATATAGGTGTACCTTATAGACCGCGTGGTGTATGGTATCGAGTGTGAAAATATTGGCGCTTAAATTAGGAAGCTGATTGCCGCGCTCATATTGAGGAAGATGGAGAAATAATTCAACTTTGTTCTTGCTCTCAGTCTGTGCAACAACTGAACGCTTCTTAGCTTTCTGCACTCGGCTTTTATCATCATACTGCATTTGTGTCTGAGGGACATCCATCCTCCTCTCTTTTTCTACTGTTACCGCTGTTTTTTCAGAAACAGAGGATGTGATGGGAAGTCCCTCTTTCTTCGGTTGAGGCTGTTTGGCAGCCTTGCCAGGTTTGGCTCTACCAGAATCGTCTGCACGTCTGCTTCCTTCGCCTAAAAATTAGTAAGATGAAAGTGTTAGGAAATAACGTCAAATTTCTATTGATAAAGGATTTGAGGTCGGGTTGGTGAGAAGCAATTTAGTGAGACACAATTGTTGACTACAAAATCGACCTCCCATTTTTTACTTTTGAACCTCGTCCACTAGTAAAAGGTTAAAAACGTTAATAGCAGAAAGCACTAAGATGGGTTTTGCGCTCCCTTTTAATGAAAACGGAAAACAAAGCGTATATTGAGCAAAACAAGAACCTTTTGCAGTGGCTTTTGCTGCTCGTTGTGCCTCTTGCATGGCACGCCTTTCTGCTTTAGTGGTTTTCTCTTTAAGAGATTTTGAATCCTTTTCCTTCTGGGATTTTGTGGTCACAGATTTACTCTTTCCTGCATAAAATTATTTCCGTAAGTAACGAAATGCAAAGCTAGAAGAAAACATCAGTGCATGGCAAATAATAGAACAACTCAAACATATAGCAATTACGACAGTAAATCCACAAGGTCAGAGTTGATACTAAATGCAAAATAGGTCTTTCAACATCATTCTAAAGGCAAGTCCAGTTTGGAAGTGGAGCGTGATGCCCCTTCTTTGGCTGAGTGGGAACGAGTCAATGACACCTCTGGAGAAGCCTAAGGCCTGCAACGCAGTTCAAAAGCAGAGATAAATGACCATTCCCCAGCCTTGGCGATGGCCTAGCAACGGTTATGGAGAATTTAGTGATAGTCTGGTTCAGAAGCAGAACTTGATGATGCACTTTCCCTCAACGTTGAAGACTTGCCTAAAGACTGACTTTGAAAAAAAGGCATATAGCTTGGGAAGAAGCAAAGAACAGGGTCATGCTTTGAAGATAATGACATTGCCTGTTGTGAGTCAGTCTGCGAAACGTCTGTTTGCAGAAGTGGGTTAACATGAAGAGTACGAAGATTGTTGTATATGAAAATTAAGAAACAGAATCAGTTTCAAAGACTCTTCAGTGTGAAAGATGACGTTGATCAGTGTGAAGATCTAATCAGTTTCATCCTTCACACTAAAAGAACCTCTGAAACAGAAACTGCTTCTACTCACGACAGAGAGGCACCTTCCTTTCTTGATTCGGAAGTATGTCGAACCAATTCTGCAAACAGATGCTTTTCACACAGACCACAAGCAAGACGATTCATTTATCTTCAAAACACAGACTCTCAATTCAAGTCGGAATCAAACTATCAAAATTGGCAGATTGTGATAGCACCAAACTCAACACGAAAGTGAATACACAACTATACTAAGAACTACACGCAATTGATTCAATAAACCTTTGATTGACTGATTGATACGTATACATACCATAAACTTCGGCGA